AAGAAAACCAAATGAATGGAAACAATCAGTCCTAGCGACTGGTACACCATCTGATCTGCAACCTATACAACTATGAGACCAGAAGAACTAGATAGTGCCCGGCTACCACTGTCATCCACTTGGAAGGGATGTACGAGATCCTGCATAGAGAGGGAGAACAATGTGGAACAAAACTCTAAATCATTTGGAGGGGAAAAAAAAAAAAAAAAGAAGGTGAGGACCAGGTTTGCTGGTCCAATAGAGCCTGGTGTAACCACTGAGACTGTGGCCCCTAGCTGCCCTTCAGGTCTGGAATTGAACCCACACCTGTGGTTTCCAGCCAAACAAAGTACAGGCATGTGAGTTAAACATTTACCTCAAGTAGACACACGCCCTGGAGAGAACAATCATGGGAGAAGGAAGGGCTGCTTATGCACAGGGAGACAGCTCAGGGCGCAGAAGAGTATGGAGGGATGGACACTGGGAAGAGGTAACTATGGGGAGGAAGTGGGAGGGGAGCTGTTGCATTGTAAATTTTGGTCAATGACATGAGACAAAGTATATGTGAACTGCTGTATGAAAAGTGAATTTACTCTGTAAATCTTCACCCAAATCAAAATAAAATTTAAAAAAAAAAAAAAAAAGATTTTCTCAAAAAGAATGTGAGGTCTGTCCTGTGCCTTTCTCCCGTTCTACCAGGGTTCATCTACTGTGGCCCCGATCAGAGCAGTTGATAGTGGTGGCAAGGTACCATCTAGTTCCTCTGGTCTCAGAGGAGAGCCCATGGCTTGTGCAGGCTACCAAACTAGACGAGCTTCTTCCCTGGGACTTGGGTTTCCTTCTCACATAGGTTTTATGGCTCCTCCATATTAGGAAAATCAAGCCTTGGTTTCGTGTGGTGGCTCAGATCATGGCTTTTGACATCCATGGCCCAGTGCCCTGGCCCAGCCTCTCTGTGTGTACTAAGCTCTCTCTGAGCCAGAAAGCCTTGTCCCATCTGTTGGGCAGACACTATGATCACACAACTGTTGTGCCCACTTACAGATGAGAACCTGAGGCTTAGGCAGTGACACAACCTGGTCAAGGCTCCAAAAGCCAGATCTTCTCACCTCTGAAATGGAGACATAACAGTGCTTCCCCTATTACCAGGGTAACAGTTACTATGGTAACTAGGGTTACCATAAGGACCAAATGATACTAGGACTCATGACCTTCCACAAAGAATGAGTTGCTCAACGTCTGAGGGTATTGTTTTATAGTTTCAAAACCGTTAAGGAGGACGGTAATTTGTAATGGTTTGACTGTTTAGCCCTTCATACTGGTAAAGCCTTCCTCGGTATATGGGAGCTCATTCCACTGACAGCTGTAAGACACTTGGGGTGATTAAAGTACTTTCCCTTTAACAGAAATAAATTTCCATTCAGAAGTATGCTTCTGCATCAAAGCAAAAACACTGTTGGTTTGGCTGGGAAAGGTGATATTCTGCCATTTCCAGCCCACCCTTTGGACCAGTGGTGCTCAACCAGGAACAGTCTGGCCCCCAGGGAACAGCTGGCAATGTCCTGAGACATTTCTGATTGTCTTGACTAGGAGGAGAGGCCGAGGTGTGGGACCCTGCTGAACATCATACCCTGCCCAGGCTGTCCTTATCACCGAGCACCCAGCACACCAGCAGGGCCACAGCGAGAATGCCCTGCTCCTGCCAGGAAGCCAGAGCAGACCGAGAGAGTGGGCCCCCCAACCAGCCTGATAATCCCTTAATGGAGGCCTTTCCTCCATTAAAAAAAAAAAAAAAAAAACGAACATCTATCCAACCTGAAAAAAGGCTTATAAGACGTTCTTCCAAATCTGCTTCTTCAAAACAGTCCGTATTTTACAACTGCCGTGCAATTTGGCTACAAATGAAATCCAATCACTGAGAGATGGAGGTGTTCCCTCAAAATGTCTCAGCTTCTGAGCAGAAGGTATTCATTTCCTAGGGCTGCGTAACAAATTACCACAAACAAGGCAGCTTACAACAACAGAAATTTATTTCCTCACAGTTCTGAAAGCTGCAAGTCTGAAATCAAGGTTGATTACTTCTGGAAGCTCTTGAGGGAGCATCTATTCCACACCTGTCTCCTAGCTTCCACATCAGTCCTGGGCTTACAGCTGCATTACTCCAGTCTCTGCCTCTGTGTTCACATGGCATTCTGTGCGTGCGTGTGTGTGTGTCCCTGTGTCCCAAGTTCTCTCTTCTTATAAGGACACTGGTTATTGGATTGAGGGTCCCACCTAACCCAGCATGACCTCTTCTCAACCTGGTTACATCTGCAAAGACCCTATTTTTAAATAGGGTCAGATTCACAGGCTTCAAGGGGACAGGCATCTTTGGAAGACACTGTTCAACCAGGTTGCATTTCATTTTACTTGGATCCATCATCAATGCCCAAGGACCAGACAGCCAAAAAAATCAGAAAACCGGCTGCAAAAGACTTCTTTAATCTGTTATAAAGCAAAGATGTCACCTTAAGGACTAAGGTACACTGGACCCAAGCCACAGTCTTCTCAATCACCTCATACGCATGCGAAAGGCGGACGCTAAGGTAGAAGACGGAAGAACTGACGCACTTGAATTCCGTGCTGGCGAAGAATACTGACTACACCGTGACTACCAGAAGAGCAAACAAATCTGTCCTGGAAGAAGTGCAGCCAGAACGCTCCTTAGAAGCAAGCATGGTGAGACTTTCTCTCACTTACTCTGAACTTGTTATCACAGGGACCAGTCCCTGGAGAAGGACACCATGCTTGGAAAAGGAGGTGGTCAGCAAAAAGAGGAAGACCCTCAAGGAGATGAAATGGCACAGCAGCTTCAACAATGGGCCCAAACACAGAGACAATCGTGAGGAAGGTGCTGGCCCAGGCCCTGTTTTGTTCTGTTGGGGTCCCTGTGGGCTGGAAGCCACTCAACAGCACCCAGCAACATTCAACCAAGTGCAGTCACTTATCTTCAGTGGGCACTTCCGGATGGGGGGGGTGGGGGGACACAGGTCAGATGAACAAGCATGACCACTAATACATGAATCTGCCTCCTCCTCCTCCTCCTCCTCTTGATGTAACTGGATTCTGCTAGAACAGAAGCCTATGAGAGAAGGACGACTCTGGCAACCCTGTGGACATAACAGTTTCCTCAACCTGCTATGGAAATCTTAGTCCTGGGCTGGAATTCAGCACTTGAACAGCTGGAACTGCATGGGCACCAAAGAGCTTGCAAGGACTAAGGGAGCAAAAAGGATGCTTCATTTGACACGGTCCTGAGCATCCTGGCGTGAGAGCATCCCTCCCTCCAAAGCAAGCAGCTTCCCAGTGACAGAGTGCAGTTGAGCGACAGGTTCCAGGGCTGGGCCAGTCCTCACAGGCAGTGTGAAGGAGGGGCAGTTAACACAATGGGGTTGGGTTGGGGTGTTCGAGAATGTTCCCTACTCTGAGGTTGCTTTCTGTGAACTTTTCCATGGAGGCGATCTCACAGTGATGTGCTGAATTCTGCATGGTTTCCCCTGTGACACAGTGCTACCCTCCTGTGGTCGGCCCTTCAGGAACCTGTGCACATGTTACCTTGCATAGTAAAAGGGACTCTGCAGATGTTAGGAAGTTAGGAATCTTGAGACAGGGGTATGAGCCTGCATGTTCCAGAGGAGCCTAATGGAACCACCACATCAAATACCAAACCTGCTGCTGTCAAGTTGATCCTGACTGACAGCAACCACAAAGGACAGAGTAGAACTGCCTCACAGTTTCCAAGGCTGGAATCCCTACAGGAGCAGACTGCACATCTTTCTCCCATGAAGCAGCTGATGGGTTCAAACCACCAACCTTTTGGTTCTCAGATGAGTTCTTAACCACTGCACCACCAGGGCTCCTTAAAGTAGCCACAGGGGGCCGTGTAAGAGGGTGGCAGGAGGAGTCAGTCAGAAAGCAGCCATATGATGCTGAGAGCAGACTCAGGGAGAGATGATGATGTTGATGATGATGCTGGTTTCAGAGCTGGAAGCAGGGACCACGAGCCAAGGCACGTGGGCACCTCAGAAGCCGGAAAAGGCTACAAACAGATTCTCGCCTAGAGCCTCTAGAGGGAGCCAGACCTGCCACACCTCAGCTGTAGCCCTGAGAGACTGAGTGTGGACTTCTGACCTCCGGAGCTGTAAGATAAGCCACCAAGTTCATGATAACTTGTTACAGCGTGTCTGCAGACTCACCAGCAGCTTTCTTGCCCTCCTTTACAACCAAAAATCAAAACAAAAAAACACAAACACATGGGGGCTAATCTTTAAATCCTAAACCATACACCAAACATCCCCCCTGAAGTCTTCTGAAAACCAAACAGTATTGAGCTCAACCAGAGAGAATGTGTGCCTTGGGCACTGCGCTCTTCTATTATCTCTCCAAAGAGGTTCAAAATGACAACAGCGACTGGAAAGATTAGATAGGAAACCAAGGGGCCAGTGAGTTTATGTCACTGGGGGAGGAAGATCGCAGAGAAGGAGGGGAGAGTGGTTGTATCACTAGGGAATAGAATCCATGTCACTGAATCACACAGGCAGAGACTGCTGAATGAATGCATGTTCTCCTGTGTATATTCCACACAAACAAAAGTCAATCTGAAAAAAGAAAAATACAGATGGCGGCAACTGTCAGCGTCTAAGCTACAAAGTCAAAGCTCTTTGTGGAATAAGCGAGCTCTGCACTAATGTGCAAGAGAGGGGCCCCTGGAAGCAGCATTCACAGCCACCATGGGTCTGATGTGAGCTGTCTGCATCTGGCATCATCGTGAACGTTTTAGGAGAAGTCCAGCTTTGTAAGAGAAAAAACCAGCAGAATTAGTCATTGCCTTTGACTGTAAGCTTAAGGAAAAAAATGTCCCCAAGGTACTGTGATGTTGGTATATGTGTCCATCACAGCTTGTGTGTCATCTGCCTAGTGTTTACGTTTGGAGGTGTGCTACGATACTCCTGACTTAACTCTGAATTTTTTTTCTCATTCAGGTCTGTGAGAACTCCTGGCATCTGCAGCTTTACTACCGAGTTTCCATAGCAACGGGGAAAAGGAGAAGAAAATCCAAATCTGAAGACTGCCATTTCCAGGGGTCGAACTTCACAGCCAGGCCTCAGTCGTTCCGGATTCTCGTTTGCTTTGCAACTTCACGTAGTCTGTACCTCGTCACTGCTGCCAGCATCCTCCGCTCCCCTTTCACTGACGGCGTCATTTGGATTTTCCCGGATGGTGAACCATCACGACACAGAACTTGACCTTCTGGGAGCAGCAGCGGCTTACCATGATGTGTTGACATGTCACTAAGTTGGCTCTTTGCACACGCAGCTGTCTGTGGGTTAGCACCTGTATGTGTGTGAGGGTCTGTTGTGTATAGACATAGGATTTATAGGTGAGGCGACCCAGGAGAAGGCAGGATTTAAGATGCTATTCTTTCTTGAGAAGCTACAAAAGAAGGGATAGATGGTAAGGCAGCTGAGCCCTCAGGGCCTCCGGGTCAGCCCTTGCATAGCCCACACAGCTGCCCCTTTCCCCAGTGCTCCTTCTACATGCAGCCAGGCAGGTGCCCCAAGCAGAAAGCAGAGGCTGTTTTCTCGTTAGTGGCAGCTCCACGACTGAGTTTCCCTGCCACCAAATGTTGTGGTCCCCAGCAAAGGTGATACCCTCCCAAATACTGAGAACAGGGCAAACACATGCCTTCCTGGGCATCAACCTGCATTTGTAGTCGTCCTGAGCCCACACACTATAACCCACTGGTTACCATGGGGACACCGATCCTGGTTGGCCTGTGCATAGTGCTCATGTCATCCCAAAGTCACATGTTCACAGTAAGAGGCCAACTGAAACCATTCTGTATACACACACAGACCCACATGTACAGACATACTCTTATGCACACATACACACAGTTTGTTTTCTATATACATGCATAAAATAGAGTAAATACAGGTAGTTTAAAAAAATTAAGTAACTTTGTGTGAATCGACTACCGTTGTCTGCAGAGCTGAAAATAAACGATGCTCATTATGTATGAAAAGTAATTGATTTTTATTCTGTGAGCATGTCGAAGAGGGAAGGTAGTGTTTGTACTAAGATTATCTCCTTGTGGATAAACTATAAATGACCATCAAAGCTCACACCAAATTTTTCTATCAAATAAACTAGTGAGCGCCTGTAGCTTTTGACTAGAGCTCACCATGACCTAGGAAGGGTAAGTGTCTTAGCATATTTTAATGCAGTTGCTTACAGAAGGTTTTAACCACACGCGCACATGCACCCGCTTTCTTATGCAATCTATGTTTGCACCTGTGCTTTTAGTTAGCCTTTTATAGGACTCGAATCCTATGCTGTCTTTACTGTAGTGAGATTATGCAGACAGACTTCCGTATGTTGTATTTGTTTCGATAGTAAACCTTTTGGGAAACATCCAGAATGCAGAGCATTTTTTCTCCATCGAAATAAATGGGTATTGGGGGTTGAAACTGCTGCATGGAAGCCCTTCTCTGTGGTCTCCCGTGGCTGACGCCGGGTCTTGGCTTTGAATGCAAAGTCACGTTTGTGACTGACCATCTGGGGTCCCCCCTCTGTCTCCCATTAGGTGTGTCCATGCAGCCGGAAGCACAAGCTCACAGTATACTCTGCTCAGCTCAGCTCCCTCCCTGGTCCAATGTGAGCGTTTCCCAATGGGCTGTGAAGGTGGTCAGACACTCAGGTATCAGGAGGGCCGCTGTCAGGGTGAACACTTCTTGTCGACTACCATCAGAACTATCCATCCAGAGATCCAGAGTGTGTATATTTTTGTCTGGAGCAAACCCTCTTGTGAGATCAAAATCCGGAGATGCTGCGTCTTGGGCATGCCATTCCTCACCAGTGCTCCCCAGCTCAGGAGCCACACTCCACGACTTCCCTCCTTGGGCTTTATTGGACACACCTGGCCCCCCGCCTTCTGCAAGGCAGGGGAGCGTGCTCTCTCTTGACCTGCTGGTCCCGAGGCTGACCATCCTCTAGGAAACCAGCAAGCAGAAAGTGCACTGCTATCAGGAACCTGAACCTGTTCCAGGAAGGACTACAGATCTCAAGTGAGCCTTCATTTAGCTTATCAAGTGCAGGCCCTCCCAGACCCTGCAAGGCAGGCCTGCGGCTTCATGAGTTCCAGACACAGGCCAACGGAGACGTGCACACGTCCCTGGTGAGCACAGCGGAGCCTGGAGAGCCGGAGCTCAAGGGGACTCCCTGCTTCTCCGGTCTCACAGGTTCACCGCCTGCGAAAGGGTGCGGTCCCACCACTCGTCTGTTGCTCCTTTTGGTGCAAAAGGAGTGCTGGTGGCATCGTGGGCAAGGCATTTTGGCTGTTAACCAGATGGTCAGCAGTTCAAAGTGACCAGCTGCTCTTGGGAAGGAAGACAGACAGCCTTGGAGACCCAGTGGGGGGTCACTATGCATTGGAATTGACTAGATGGTGGTGGGCTTGGGGGCTTTTTAGTGGAGAACAGTTTGAGCTTTCCTTGTCCGACAGGTTTCCACCTGACATGAGTTCCATCTTTGGACATGAACATGGCTCACCTTCCCCTTTCTCAAGCACACTTCCTGTCCTCAGAGTTCTTATCCAAAAGACATCTTTCTGTCACACTGTTGTTTCTAATTCTTTAAAAAATTAAATAGCAAGCAAAAGACCAAAATTCTTAGAAGCCAAGGTGGCAGCATTTCCTGAATCACAGGGTTTTTAACTTGATAGGACATGATATTGTTTACTGTAAGGAGCAGCAAAATCCAGGCACTCTGTTACCAGGGCATCAAGCCTAAGGTATTTAAAAATTAAAGTTGAGAGCCAGAAGTTGCTTGTCCCCATTACTGACCACAAAGCTGAGGACTCTGACCCCCATCCCATGAGCATCTCAGAAGCTAACTATCCTATGAACACCACCAGTCACCCTAGTTGATTCTAACTTACATTTCTCCCCATTTTACACATGATAAAATTCATTATTTCAGACAATTTGTTTAAAAAATACACAAACATTTTTGAATCACACTGCTGGTTCCCTCCAGACAAGCTTCAAGGCAAGACAGTGAATGCCTCTGGACCTGCAAGCTGAGCACTGTAAGAAAAACTCAGCCCCGGCTCATGGTAGGGAGCGAGGAAGACTTTGATTCCTGAAAGCACCGTTAGAATCTCATCTACTTTTTACATTTTTATTTTGATATTTTGAATCATTCCAGTTTTTCACAATAGCATTGTAAGCAGCCTGTAACTGTCCACCACCAAACTCACCAAGTACTTTAGCTTTACCCCAGATAAACGTGCTGGGTCTTAAGTTTAAGCCGTGGCAGCCAAAAAATGACTAACCTGCTAAGATTCCATGCTGGGCTGGGGCAGCAGTACCCACACACAGGTGACTCTGAGGGAAAGAGCCAACGAACCCCCAGGTGAACCAACAAGGAGGTGACTGACAACCGCCACCACCACCACGGTTTACATTTACGGACGGCTGGTCACGAGCCCGCACTGGACAAAGCCCTTCATACCCACCAGCCCACTGCCTCCTCACAACAAGCAAGAGGGCCAGGAGCTACTGCGGTCTCAACTCCCAGAGAAAGCACACACAGCAAGCGGTGGCGGGCCCAAGGTGAGCAGTGCTCCAGGACTGAACCCAGGCCACTGGGCTCTGGGCCCATGTTTGTCCCCGTGTCCCCATGATGCTCCCCACTCTGGGCAGGACACCCCAGCAGAGTGCCTAATTCAGACTAGGAAACCAAAGCCTGAACCCCCCCCCATCTACCCCCAACAACTCAACAGAGTCCCTACCAGTTCTCCATCTAAGAGATTTCTATCAGGAACCGGTAGTAAGATTCCAAATTAACACCTGGCCTTAGACATATTCCCACAGGAGGTATCAAACTGTTCCGTAGCGCCCCCCTCCTCTCTCATGAGGAGTATAAATGGTGAGTATACAAGTGGACCATGCGAGATGGACTACATCTGTAGAAAAAGACCACAGAAAAGCTCAACATCATTAGTCACAACACAGCCAGGGGTCGACTGTGCCCATTTAAGCTCAAACAGAAGAAAATTAAAACAAGTACACGAGAGCCAAAACGCAACCTTTAGTATAGCCCACCTGGATGTAAAGACAATCTCAAGAACAGGCTAAATGAACTAAACCCCAAAGACCAGACAAGTTGTGGAGTGACATCAAGGACAACATACACACGAAGAAAGCAAAGGGGCATTAAAAAGACAGGAAAGGTGCTATATGGAAAATGAGTTTGCTCTGGAGGCTTCCGGTAAGATGGCAGAATAAGCAGAGAAGCTACGGACACCCTCTTCAACAAAGAAAACAGAAAACAATTGACACAGAAGATAATCCTGGAGCCCTGAGTTTTGAAAGGAAGGATACAGAAGTGGACTAAACTCCAACTAGTAGAAGAACCTGAATGAAAATAGTAAGTAAGGAGACAAACACACCTGTAGACTGTGAGCTATCCCGATGGAATGGACAGCCTGAATATTTCCAAGAGGTGTTAGGACCTGAGAATTAACCTAAAAATTGGCCCTGCTCACCAAGGTCTGCATGGACTACCGCACTGGTGGCTTTTGACTAAAAAGGGAAACAGCAAAGGAGGAGACAAACTGAGCTGTGGACGTTCAACACCTGTCCAGAGGGTGCAGCCATTTTGAATGTTAACAAGCAGCAGCCATTTTGGACATTTAAAGCGAAAGCATTCTCATTCAGATTCCAGGGATCCAAGAATAGGCTCCACTTGCCAAGGACAGCACAGACATAGCAGAGGCTGACGACTGGGAAAGAGACAGATGATGAGTGCATAAGTGCTGCCAACTAGTGAACAGAGGAGCACAGTACCCTTCTCACTCAGATAACATCCAAACAAAACAAAGACCATGAAAATCTTGGATGAATCACCACAACATACAATCACCAATTAAACACAAAAACGCGCAATGTCTCAGAGACAACAGACCATCACAGTCCACACAAAGATGCAAGATAAAGCAGTAGAAATAAGGGACCAGGATACACACCCAGAACACATCCCTAACTAAGAAGTAGCATTAGAACTTCCTGATAAGTAATTCAAAAGAATT